CCGATCCATTTTAGTTTAACTAGTTTTTTGCCTTTCTGGGGCTAAGGGATATGTTTTGAAGGAAACTGGCCTAATCCCAGAAAGAAAGAAAAAAATGGCTCCTTCCTTATACACGTATAAAGACTTCTGGGTCTATTGAATAGCACCTGTAAACCCTAAATTTCAGGTTTCAAGTCCTTTGAAATTTCAGCTTCAGTGTTTAAGGCAAGCCTCAAATTAAAAAAAAAAATAGTCAGGTGTGGACTGGAGAGATGGCTCAGAGGTGAAGAACACTTTCCACTTTTCTAGAGGTGCTAGTTCCTAGCACCCACAACCAACTGTAACTCCAGCTTCAAAGGATCTAGTGCCTCTGGTCTCCAGGGCTCATTGCACATAAGCGCGTGTGCACAAGAAGATACACACGCCTATACATAGCTAGAAGTAAAAAGAATAAACATAAAAAAATCAGGGAGCTGGGCATATGCCTATAGTACCAACACTTGGAAGGCAGAAGCAGGTGGATTTCTGTAAGTTTGAGGCCAACCTGGTCTTCATAAATGAATTCTAGGCTAGCCAGAACTAGAGAGATCCTGTCTCATAAATCAAACAGATAAACAAGGGCAGGCATGGCACTGTTTGGATAGTGAGACAGTAAGTTTGAAATCGTGTTTCAACCAAAAATAAAGGAGCCATCAAAATTTCTCAGATCGTTGAATATGGAGTTCACTTTTAATTATTTCTTTATTTTTATTTTTCAAGACAGCGTTTCTCTGGGTAGCCTTGGCTGTCCAGGCACTCACTCTGTAGACCAGGCTGGCCATGAACTCATAGAGATCGACCTGCCTCCTCCTCCTGAGTCCTGGGATTAAAGGCATGTGCCACCACTGCCAGGCTGCTTTTAATTTGTGAAACATCAATGGTCATCTTTGTGTGTGGCTGCATGCATTGTTACATCTGTGTGTTGTTTTAAACGCAGGTCCTCTGGATGTGTGGGACTTTTCTTCGCCTTTGCTGTTGCTATGGATGAATAGGTTCTACATCTATCTGGGCTGTGCTCTGGGAGTCACCCTTTGGATCTGTGTCCAGGTTGTCATTAAGAAGCAGGTAATTGGGGAAGTTGTTTTTGTTTGTTTGTTTTTTTCTTTCTACCTCTCCCTTTGAAACATTTTTTAAAAGTTAGGTGCTTATGTGTGGGCATATGCAGGTGAGTGCAGAGCCTGTGGATGCCAGAAGAGGGTGTTTGATCTTCTGGAGTAGGAGTTACAGTAGCTTGTGAGCGACCGTGTGGGTGCTGGTGCAAGCGGAGTATATGCTTGCAGTTGGTTCCTTCCTTCTATCATGAAAGATCCAGAGCTTGATCTCGAGTCATCAGGCTTAGCCACAGGGCCTTTGCCCATCTACCCATCTAGCTTGTGCGATAGAGTTGTTATGTATTCCTGGCTTGGCCTGCTTACACATTATGTAGCCAACTACCCTTGAAGTCTGGGCAGTCCTCCTGCCTCTACCTCCTGAATGCTAAGATTACCAGCATGCATGTATGCCTAATGCTCACAGGAACATTAAATCACCTTTTTTGTTTGTCTAGATTTTTTTAAAGAAATTTAATTTATTTTACATCCTAACCACAGTTTCCCCTCCCCCCTCACCTCCCTTCCTCCCACTGTCTAGATTTTTTTAATGCTTGATTTTTTTTTCTCGTAACATTTTAGAGTCTATTATAATGGACTAAGTCAGAATCAAGAAGATTTTTATAATGGAATTTGACCTACAAAGAGAAATAGCTGGGTGTGGTGGTACATGCCTTTAATCCTAGCACCCGAGAGGCAGACACAGGTGGATCTCTGTGAATTTGAGACCAGCCTGGTCTACAGAGTGGGTTCCAGGACAGCCAGGGCTATGTAGAGAGAACCTGTCTCAAAAAAGCCAAACCAAAACAATAAATAAACAAATAAATAAATATAAATAAAGGAGTGAAAAATAAAGCTGTTTTGCACCCTTCAGGGATTAGGATAATCTTTCCTTACCCCCACCAAAGGTTAGAACATAAGAGTGTACAGTTTGCCCTCCATATCCTGGTGGTTTTCAGGATTAAGCTGAAGAATAGAAAATATTTGGCAAATGGACTGGCATGATGGCTCAGCTGGTCAAAGCACTTGACATGCAAACCTGACAGCCTGAGTTTGGTCCCCAGAACCCACATATAAAGCTGTCTGTGGGCTGGAGAGATGGCTCTGCAGAGGACCTGAGCCAACACACATGTCAGGTGACTTATAGCTGCCTATAACTCTAGTACCAAGTGATCCAACATCCTCTTCTATCCTCTATGGATGTTTGCCTCACATGTGTGTGTGTGGGGGGAGTGAGAGAGCTTGTTGTTTTGTCTTGTTTTTTGTTTTTTGAGACAGGGTTTTTCTGTGGCTTTGGAGGCTGTCCTGGAACAAGCTGTTGTACACCAGTCTGGTCTTGAACTCACAGAGATCCTCCTGCCTCTGCCTCCTGAGTGCTGGGATTAAAGTCATGCATCACCACCTCCTGGCTGGGGCAGGACTTTTAGGTGACTGAGCTTCTCAACTGGAACTCATGCTGCTAGAAGTAATCCTAGTAAACTGAATGGTTCACAGAGCAGAACTTAGATGAAAAGATTTCTTCTTTCTGTCATAGTCCATGGGTGAGCAGAAATAGTATCTGAGAAAAAGTCACATGACAGATAAGGAGAGAAGTCTGTACCTGTTTGATAAGAAGTTTGGCTCTGTGTGGGTGTGTGGGTGTGTGGATGTGTACACATGTGTACCATCCTCTGAGTGTAACAGCTGTCTTCATCAGAGCCTGTGACTGTTTGAAGAGACCTCTGGTGATTGTTGGCTTTCCTTCACAGGCGGAGGGGCAGCCAGCGACCCAGTGGAGATTCTGGTTGCTTCCCCCAACCTCATTTCTCTTGGACATTTTTATATAATATTGTTCTGATTGCACATAGCCTTGTGGTCGTGGAAGGTGCTAGAGTCTATAGATTGTTCAGGGTTACACCCATCCGTGCAGCTGTGGGAAATCATCTTCCATTCTGGGGTGGCATTTTCAGGTGTTGGGCTGCTCTGAGCTTCCCAGGTTGGCTTTCGGTGGAATGGTTTGTTGTTGGAGTTCCCTATAGAGGGGTGGTCACTGTGTACATTTCCATAAGGGAAGAGGTCCTGCAGTTGTGTGTGTGTGTGTGTCCGTCTGTCCTGGAACCAGTCCTCCATAAACCGGTAGGTTACAGCTTTCTTCTGCAGAGAATGCACATCATGTAAGTTTGAAAAAGGTGGGCCCTGCCTTTTATGGCACCCTGTTAGATCAAGAAGGTGAGTTAAGGGGTACACCTAGGAAGATGAAGAGAACCACAGAGTCAAGAGTCTTAGCAAAGTTTCATACCTCTTGAAGTGAGAGAGAATCTTGATGGATTCCCTTCTCTTGTTTATCTTCAAGGTCATTCGCTCCCAGGAGAAAAGTGTCCCAGGAGCTCCCGACAGCTCTTTTTCCCTTCAGAAGAAGCAGACACACGTGTCTGGAGTGAAGATTTTCTGGCACCGCCAAGGTGAGGGCTTTGCACAATGCCTCTCCTTTGGCTTCTCAGCCTTTAAAGAAAATTCCAGGAACCTTCCTTTAGCAGTGAGTTTCATTAGTCTTCCAGTCCTTCTATCCTTCTGTCTTTGTTCCTTTCTGGAATGGTGAATGGTTTCCTTCCATTGGGCCCAGTGTCTGTACGTCCTAGGCTCGAAGGGCTCCGAAGCCCTTGTCTGCCTCTGGAGGATGGAGATTCTGCCTGTGGGGATAGGACGTGGACTTCAAGCATATCCAACCCTGCGACATTGTAACAATCTCACAAGTGAGAACCTCACCAAGAGGAAAAAATTACCAAACACTGGTAATGAAGGAAGTTTGTGGTTTTATTTATTTATTTATTTAATTTATTTATTTATTTATTTATTTTGGTGGGCTGCCTTTATGACTTTCTTGGTGTGCCTGCTAGAAAAAAGTGGATCATGGTGATGGTGTTGGGGATGGGTCCCATTTCTGGCAACTTCACACATCTATTCAATGCAATCAATGTACTAAAGGCAGAGAAAGTTGTAGATTCCAGCTGGAGATGTGAGGACCAAAGTCAGTCGGTTTCTCTTCTTGGGTACATGTGTTGTGTGCCTCCCTGGAATAAAGGTCACAACTGTTGAGTGCTTTCTAGGAAAAGACTGAGAAAGGCTGCCATGAGAATGAATCATTAAAAAATCAAAATCCAATAGAACAACAAAAGGGCTAAAGAGGCTTCTACTGCCCTCTTGTGGATATTATACAGAATAGCTGTTTTGTTTTGAGGCAGTCTCAAGTGGCCTGTTCAGAATAATACTGTTATTTCATTTTAAAGACTTTATTTATTTTAATGTGTGTATGAGCATGTATATGGGCACACATGTGGATGCCAGAGGAACAACTAGATGGAGTCAGTTGTCTCCTGCCATGGGGGTTAGGGGTGGGGCTTAAACTGTCTCAGGTGTCATAGTAAGTGCCTTTACTCACTGAGTCATCTCACTGGCCCCATTCAGAGCCTTAAGTTGTTTTTTTTTTTTTCCAACAAACTTTCCTTGATGCCAGGCCGACCTCAAACTCCATATGTACCAGAGAATGACCTTTGCTGAGTAATTCTTAGGCCATATCTTGACATATTAATCACATAATGACTCATTTTAATTGCTGGTCATTACTAATTAAATTCTAGTCACATGGTTGGTTTTTCTGGCTATCAGCCTCTATCCTGAAGCCATCTAAGGGCCCCCTCTGGTGGTCATGTCACTGGCAAGATAGTGAATTCAGGGTTTTTAGAGACTTTGTGCTTAGTAACAAGGGTGGGCTGCGTATTGTTTTGTACGTGTGCTTATACTGACACTGTGTGTAGAGTAGGCACGCTCTCCTGGCCCCAGCCTGTACTCAGTCCACTCATCTGAGTGTATTTTCTTCCAAGGTGCTCATCACCGTCTTGTATGTTCTACTGACTCTTGTCCATCCATCTAGTAAGCCAGAAGCTTCTTCAGGACCAGGGCTCTGTCCATCTTGTTGACTTCTGTGTAATGTTTCGCAGAAGTGTGGCTGGCATGGTGAGTGCCCAGTCAGTGAAGTGCCCGTAACTGACAGTTAGGAGTCATAGGGGCCCTGTCTTGGGACTGCCAAGCAGAGGAAGGGTGTTTTTCTCTGTGTCAAAACCTGCCTGGAAATTTTAGCTTTGTTCAAGCATTTGGTGCCTGGGCTTTCAGACAGTTGACAGGTATGTTACATGGGGGTGGAGGGCAGCTGCCACTTGGACTTTGCCATCTGTGCAGTAATAACTTGCTTGTCTGTTTCTTCCCTCCTGTCTTGTGCTATAGCTGACTCCAGCACAGAGCCTCCCTGGGTTCTGTCAGATAAGACATTGCTTCCAGAGCTTCTTCCTGTCTGTCACCTAGCTTCTCATGCCCCGCCCCCCAGCTGTGTTTGTGTGCATGTATGTACATGTAGTAGCCAAAGGACAACCTTTGTAGAAGTCACCAGGGTAGCAGGCTTTCTTGGACTGCCAGCCTCCCAAATCATGACCTGGAGACTTACTATTAATTGTGAATGCTTGGCCTTATTACCTTAGGCTTGTTTTTAGCTAGTTTGTTTTTCTTTTTTTTTTGACTTTAGCTCATTTCTGTAAATCTGTGTGCCGCTCCGAGGCTAATTTACCTCATCCTGCTTTCCTGCCTTCTGTGTGTCTGGCTGACTGGTCTCCAACTTGCTGGGCTCAAGGCTGGCTGGCTGGCTCCCCTTTTCTTTCTGCCTGCCAGCCCCACCTATCCCTTCTCTGCTTAGCCATTGGCAGTTCAGCTTTTTATTAAACCAATCAGGTGCCTTAGGCAAGCAAGGTAAAACAGCAACACATCTTTACATAGTTAAACAAATGCAGCATATATAAAAGCAACACATCTTTACATAGTTAAATAAATATTCTATTCCACAACCCAGGAGGTCCTTGTACTCACAGTTAAGCACTAGGAAAATGTTAAACATGTAGGACACAGGGTTATCTCTTCCAGAAGGCTAGGAATGGGTGTGGTTAATAGCCTGTTGACCTCTGTGCTATCTGTAGGGCCAGGCCACACCTGACTTGACAGACTATTATGTTTATCATAGATTCTTCCTCCCTAGACCTTCACCTTCCTCAGTAAAGCCCATATTTATGGAAAAAGTCATATGCACTTTGAAAAAAGTTTCAATGTAATGTCTTTAAGCTTTATTTTATACATGGGATTGAGTTAATTATCACCAAGAAAGTTTTCTTTTTCCAAAATGGTGCCGTGTTTAAATATAGTTAAAATAAACTGCCTGGGGTCAGACACTAGAGGTTTGACCCAAACTGACTACTGAGTCCTGTTGAGCTGGACTTCTTTCTTGCCTCACTTGGGTTGACACTCTGCCAGCCCTGGTGTTTACGTTCCCTCACCACCCCCTAAAAAAACCCTTGGATGTTGTTCTTTAGGTACAGCCTACCTTGTGTTTTTGAGACATGATCTGGGCTGCCCAGCCAGTAAACCTCAGGGAGCCACCTGTATCTGACTCCTGGATGCTGGGATTATAAACACACACACCATCTTGCCTGGTTTTAGCTTCTTTCTCTTATCTAAACATTATTTATTTGTGTTTGTGTGAGTGTGGATCTACGTGTGCCATAATGTACAAGTGGAGGGCAGAAGAAGAACTTGGATGTTTGCCCACATTTTCCACCTTGTTTGAGACTGGGTCTATGTTGTTGAAAGCTGTGGACCCTGGGCTAGCCTACCTACTAGCTTCTGGGAATTATCCTGTCTCCAAGTCCCATCTTGTTGTAGAAGTACTGGCATTCCAGTGTGCGCACTTTACATGGATCCTAGGCATCTGAACTTAGGCCCTTATACTTAGGTGGCAATCACCCACTGCCCTCCCCCCTGCCTGCCCCCCCCCCCCCCCCCAGATTTATTTATTATGTATGCATGTCTGCCTACAGGCCAGAAGAGGGCACCAGATCTCATTACAGATGGTTGTGAGTCACCATGTGGTTGCTGAGAATTGAACTCAAGACCTCTGGAAGAGCAGCCAGTGCTCTTAACCTCTGAACCATCTCTCCAGCTCCTAGCTTCTCTCTGTTTCTCTCTCTTTTTTAAAGATTTTAGTGCTTTTATTGAGAGAAGAGAGAGAGAGAGAGAGAGAGAGAGAGAGAGAACAAGAGAGAGAGAGAAAGAGAGAGAGAATATGTACGCATAAATGAATGTGTGTGGAGGTCAGAATAGCTTGTGGGAGGGAGTTGCTTTTATCTTTCTATCATGTTTGTCCCAGGGATTCAACCTATCAAGCAAGTGCCTTTTATGTATGGAGTCATCTTTCCAGTCCCCAGCTTTTCTACTTCCCACTTTCTTTACAATTTTTCTATTCTTATTGGCAAAGAACTAAAGTAAGTATGTATTTATCCCCATGCACACCTTTATAGATTGGGAATATGACTCAGTGCCTCATCTTTATAATAATACCCTGTTCAGGACATAGTTGCTGGAGAAGCATCCACCACAAAAGGCACCATGTCCCCTTGCCAGCTGGAGCAAACAACAGTTTTCTTTATTTGGCACACTGAAAAGTTATTCTTTTTATTTGTTCCCCTCTTTTAAGGGATTTGCAGTGACTCTTGCCAAAGCAGTTACCTCTCTGGACCTGCCTGTGGCCATTATTAATTTGAAGGACTATGACCCAGACGACAATCTGATAGGAGAGGTTGGTAACTGTCTTATTTTTCTTTCTTCAATTAAAACTCTCAAATTTGGAGCTTGAGAGATGGCTCAGAGTTAAGAACTCATGTGGCTTCTGATGAGAATCTAGGTTCAGTTCCCAGCACCCACCTTGGGTAGCTCACAGCTGCACATAATTCCAGATCCAGGGAATGTGATGTCTCGTTGGGGACCTGCATTTATGTACACATAGCTACACACATACACACAATTAAAATAAAACTTTAAAACGCAAATTTAATTGATCACCTGTGTTGTGGGGTTATTAGAATCTCTAGAACAAATTGAATTTTCATGCTGAATTGTTTCAACTGAAAGCTTTTCCACCATGACACAGAAACTTCCATTTATTTGTTTTTTGAATAGAGTTCTTGCCCTGTGGCCCTGGCTTGACCTCAAACATAGGCAATATGACCTCAAACATATTGCCTCTGCCTCCTGAGAGTGCTGGGATTTCTGGTGTACCACTGTGCTCAGCTCCGATGCCAGCATGTAAGAAATGAACTTCACTTAGATAATTGATACTATATATATTTTTATTTATTTATTTAGTTTTTTTTGAGACAGGGTTTCTCTGTGTAGCTTTGGAGCCTAACATGGAACTAGCTCTTGTAGACCATGCTGGTCTGGAACTCACAGGGATCTGCCTGCCTCTGCCTCCCGAGTGTCAAGTGCCAGGATTAAAGGTGTGTGCCACCACCGCCTGGCTTATTATTTTTTTAAATAGATTTAGTATGTGTTTTTTTGAAAATCAGTGTTTGTATACTTGTCTGTAAGTGCCTCATGTACGTGGCTGGTGCCCATGGAGGCCAGAAGAGGACATTGTTGAATCCCCTAAAACTAGAGTTCTAGCTGGTTTTGATCCCCCATGTAGGTTCTGGGAATAGAACCTGGGTCCTTTGTAACCACTAGGCCATCTCCATCCTGTCTTGAATATTCTTGTAATCATTCTTAGTTCTAATATCCTCTGATATCAATTCTGTTTTATTTAGATCACTAGTAAAAATGTCTGTGCCTTCCTGGTTGCTACATATACAGATGGCCACCCTACTGAGAGTGCAGAGTGGTTCTGCAAGTGGTTAGAGGAAGCGGCTAATGATTTCCGTTTTGGCAAGACTTACCTGAAGGGTCTGAGATATGCAGTGTTTGGCTTGGGAGACTCTGCCTACCAGAGCCACTTCAACAAGGTGGGTGTGTGGTGAGTTATAGAACCAGGTCCTTCTTTACCCAAGACAGACAAGGTCTCACACATGCTATATGTATGAGGATTGTTCAGTCGTATGAGGACGAACCTACAAACTTTGCTGCTTTAATTATTGCTAATTTTTACTTTATGTGTATGGGTGTTTTGCCTGCCTGGATGTCTATACAGCACTTGTGTGCCTTGTCTCTGCAGAGGTCAGAAGGTGTTGGATAGTATAGAGCTAGAATTACAGACAGATGGGAGCTGCCATGTGGGTGCTGGGGATTGAATGTGGGTCCTCTGGAAGAACTGCCAGTTCTCTTAACTAATGAGCCATCTTTCTAGCCCCAATAGTAATGAATCCTTACATTAATACTATTCCTTTATGGTGATGGAACCTAGGGCCTTGAGCATACTGAACAAGCACCCTGCTGCTGAACCATGCTCCTAGCCTCTCACTGGGGCATTCCAAGCAGGGACTCTACCACTGAGCCATGCCCCCAGCCTCTCACTGGGGTATTCTTGGCAGGTGCTAGACACTCAGCTCCATTCCCAACCAGGATGATTTGGAACTTCTAATCCTCCTGCCTTCATGTCCTCTGAGTTTTGAGAATACAGATGTGTGTGCCCCCACACCTGGTTTATGCAGTGCTGAGTACTGACCCCTTGGTCTACTGTGTACTAGGCAAGAGCTCTGTCACTGAGTAAATCTCTAGCCTTTTTAATTTTCAGACAGAGCCTCATAAGTTGCCCAGACTAGCCTTGAACTTATTTTGTAGTCCAGGCAATCCTTGAACCTGAGAATCCCCTACCTCTGACTCCTAAGTTGCTAGGATGATAGGCCTGTGCCACCAGGCCCAGCTTGGAGCTTGAAGATTATTTTGTGGACCTGTGCTGTACCCCTCAGCAGAAGCTCCTAAGCAGGGCTCGAAGTCACTGGGCTTCTACAGTGCAGTCTGGAAGCCTGCTTTAGAGAACAGATTGCGGTTTTTAGTCTGTGTGTTTATAGGTTGCGGGTTGTTCAGTCGCTCCTTCTCTCTTCCCTGAAGGTCAGCACGAATGTTGACAAATGGCTTTGGATGCTTGGCGCCCAACGGGTGCTCACCAGAGGGGAGGGAGATCGTAATGCAGTTCAGAGCAAACATGGCAGCATCGAGGCCGACTTCACAACCTGGAAGACCAAGTTCATCTCTCGGCTGCAGACCCTGCAGAGTGGGGAGAAAAAGGCCTGCAGTGGGGACTGTAAGAAAGGGAAGTGCGAGACCACCCAGCCTGACTCAGGAGAGATGGGTCCTCATTTGCAAGGCAAATTGCATCCCAGGGATGTTGAGGTATGTGTGTCCTTGTGTTCCTTTCTTTACTCCTGTGTGTGTGTGTGTGTTGTGTGTGTGTGTGTGTGTGTATGTGTGTGTGTGTGTGTGTGTCTGTAAGAGAGAGAGAGAGAGAGCATACATGTGTGTCTGTCCTCTGTGTGTCCCTGTGTGTGGTTGTGTAGAGATACCTGGCTTTACCTCTGCCCTAGTTAGAAAATCTAAAACAGCTTGGGACTTACACAGTGTGCTAACCATGTGCTAGATATATATTCCTTCCGCTCCTCTCCCTCCTCCCCCTCAACTCCTTCCCCTCCTTCCTTCTCCCTCTTTGCCTCCTGGTTTTCCTCTTATTGCTTCTCTTTCTTCCCTGCTCTTCTTCCTCTCCTCCTCCTCACCCTTCTCTTCCTCTTCCTCCCCCTCCCCCTTACCTTCCTCCTTTATCACTTCTCCCTTTCTGTCTTCCTTTGTTTGACAGGGTCTGACTGAGTAGCCCAGGCTGGCTTGGAACTCATTACATAGCTGAAGGTAGCCTTAGTTTCCAAGCCCTGGACTTGAAGCTCTGGGCATAAACACTCATTCTTGTTCCTTTCATTGCTGCATTATGGAGTCAGGCAGATTTTTACATTCTTCCTAAGGTCTAGAAATGGAAGCTAAGAGGAGTGTCTCAGTCTGAGCATGTATCTTCCCGGGTCACATCCTTCCTGACCCCAGTGGCTGTCAGCCACTCCTACTGGAGCAGCCAATCGTCCTGGGTTCACCTGTCTACTCCCTCAGCCTCTAAACTTTGCTCTTTGATGATTCTTTAGGTATCCATTTCCTTAGAATTGCCTTCAGGCTGTTATCCAGTGGCTGTCATTAGAGCTGGGACCTTTTGGCTGCCACCTGGCTGCATCTGTCAGGAGCAGCTATGAGTGCTGGCCCACTGTCTTTTTTCCCAGTTTTGTTCTAGTCATTAGGTGAGGCTTCAGTGTCCCTGTAAATGGTCAGTCCATCTCCCTAGCTGACTGCTCCAATCCTCACACCTCCAGCAATGCTGTTACATTCATTTGCCTCCAACAGGGCAGGGGCGGGTTTTTTTTTTTTTTTTTTTTTTTTGTGCC